AAAAAAAAAAAAAAAAAAAAATTAAAAAAAAAAAAAAAAGAATGGCAGAGTAGTTCTTATTTTCCCCTGAGGTAATGCAGGGCTGGTAACTGTCATCTTCTCAAGTTGCAAGTTCTTCAACCTTGTTTTCGGCCTCTGGGCCATCCAGTGCCGGAGAGGCCAAGGAGGCTGGGCCCCTGGACGGGGGCCGGCCGTTCCAGCGCGGCTGCGCAGGGGCAGGGGCGTAAGCCCCCGGCCGCGGGGCCCCCGGAGGGGGGCCAGGCCCCCTGAATAGGAATTCTTAAGGGAGGACAAAGCATGGTGTTTAAGGACACTGGTCTCTGACATGGCCAACTGTGGTTCGAGTCCCCAACCTGGTGGCTTGCTTTCTCACTTTCCTTCTCTCTGTGTCTCTCTCTCCCACTTTGTCCCTCTCTGGTCAAATTAAAAAGTTGAAAACATAATAAATAAAACAATAAATAAAGTTAAATAAAATAATTTTTAAAAACAAAAAGGCATTTGGAAAAAGAGACATTGGGGGCCAGCAGGTGGCATGGTGGTTAAGGCACTAGATTCCTACATGGCCACCTGTGATTCGAGTACTTGACTTAGCAGTTTGAAAATCACAAAAAATATATAGATAAATAAATGTTAAAAAGAGGAGAGAGACGGAGCCAGCAGGTGGTGTGGTGGTTAAAGGTGCTGGACTCCCATATGGCCAACAACTGTTTGAGTCCCAGACCTGGTGGCTTGCTTTCTCACTTTCCCTCTTTTTCTCTGTCTCTCTCTGGTCAAATTAAACAATAATAATAATAATAATAATAATAATAATAAATGAAGTTCAATAAAAAGATAGTTTAAAAAAAAAAAGAGAGAGAGGCATTGACTTTGGTTTTAAAGCTTAAGTGGGGGATGGCAGGTGGTTTGGAGGTTAAGGAAGCTGCGTCCCACACGGCTGATCGTGGTTTGAGTCCCACACCCAGTGACTTGGAAATCATGCTGAGCACATGTGCATGGGTGCCCAAAATCCCAGGAGGAACACAGAGGAGGAGGGACTGTGCTATGACTATCATCCCCAGGAGGTGATTTCTCACTCCCTGCTCCATCTCTCCAGCAAACACAGACCTCAATCTGACTGAGTCACATTTCTGTGGACCAATGATGTATTGGGGTCATTGGAAAAGTCATATTTTCCTGTTTTTTCATATAAAAATATGTTGTGATTGGGACTAGCAGTTGGTGGAATGGCTATGTTCCTGGACTCCCATGTAGTTGACTGCAGTTCAAGTCCCAGACCCGGTGGCTTAAACTCACGCCGGGCGCATGTGCGTGCGTGCCCGAGATCCCGAGAGGAGAATGGAGGAGAAGGGATTGTGGCATGGCCATCCCCCCTGGGGGGTGATTTCTTGCTTTCTGTCTCTCTCTCTCTGTCTTTCTGGCGAGTGCACGTGCCCTCTAGCAAAAACCTCTCCAAAAAAAAAAAAATTGTGTCATGACTTTTCCAATGGCCCAATATTTTGTATAGATTCATTCCATTTTCATCCACCCAGAGGCCTAGAGACGAAAAGCCATCCAGCAGCTACGAGCATCGCTTGGTCTAGGTTGTGGTCTAGAAATGCCATCTCCTGCTAATCTGGTGCTTCAGAAACGGCTGGTTCAGATCTGGAGCAGGAAAAGAACAGGAGCCTGGAGCGTCCTGTCCTAGCAGTCAGCAAACAGGTCACGCATTCTGTCAGAAGCACTTAGGAGTCGGGCCGGAAAGCCTCCCGCTGGCCCCAAATGGGGCGAGTTGTGCTTCACAAGGACAATAATTATAACTGATTTAAACCCATCAAATCTCTTTAAATCCATGAATTTGCAATTCTTCATATTGCCAAAGGCCATGTGCACTCATGAGAGAGAGAAATCATCCCCCCGCACCACCGCAATCCTCCCTCCATTCAGCCTTCCCATCAGGGTTTGGGGCATGCACGCAAATGTGCCCAATGTGTTTTGCAAGCCACAGGAGCTGGGACTTGAACTGCAGTTAGCCATGTGGGACCCATCTTAATTAACCACTGCACTGCTGGGCCAGCCCTTATAATGTTTGTTTGTTTAGAGATTAAGAGATTTTTGCTTTAGGGTGCGTGTGCTTGCTGGAGAGACAGAGAGACAGAACACGAGAAATCCCCCCCAGGGGAGATGGCCATGCTACAGTCCCTTCTCTACTCTCCTCTGGGGATTTTGGGCATGCATGCTCATGTGCCAGGTCCAGGACTCAAAATTGCAGTTGGCTGTGTGAGATCCAGCACCTTGACCATCATGCCACCTGCTGGCCCCACACAATTTTCTTTTTAAATGTATTTCTTCCGTGAGAGAAAGAAACACAGAGAGAGACACCCTAACAGGGTCTTCACATTGCGGTCCTCTCCCCTCAGCCAGCCTGGCACAGACGTGGGCTCACCTGGCAGGTGCAGGGAGCTCCCAGGAGGGGCCCAGGACCTTCCCATTTGGATTCAGCATTGTGAAGCACTGCATCACCTCTGGGCCCCACGGCTGGACCCCTCCTTTTTTTAAGACAGGTCTTGCCATGGCACAGTCCTCCTGCCTCTCCTTCCCAGCTGGGGCACACCACCATGCCCGGCCATTGTTGTGACCTGCCCTGTCACCCCAGCCACTCTGGAGTTTGTGATCCTTCTGCCTCAGACTCCCTATCACTGGAAGTAAAGGCACATTCCCCCACCTCCACCACCTTGAAAAACACTGACTGGACACAGTGTTAGTTCCCTTAGTCACAGGACAGTACCCCAGAGTAGGTGGCTTAAAACAACTGGAGTTTAGGACCAGCAGCTGGCGTAATGGCTGTGTTGCTGGACTCCCAGGTAGTTGACCACAGTTCAAGTCTCAGACCCAGTGGCTTAAACTCATACTAGACGTGTGTGTGTGCGTGCGTGCCCAAGATCCCGAGAGGAGAATGGAGGAGAAGGGATTGCGGCGTGACCATCCCCTCTGGGGGGTGATTTCTCGCTTTCTGTCTCTCTGTCTCTCTCTGTCTTTCTGACACGCACCTTATTAAAAAAAAAAAAAAAAGACCTCTCCAAAAACTAAAAACACAAGAGGAGATTATTCTCTCTTAATTCTGGAGGCCAGGGATCTGAGATCAGTTGTAGACAGAGTTGGCTCCTTCTGGAGTCTGTCCCACGCCGCGGTCCTTGCTCCTGGTAGTTACTGACACTCCTTGGCCTTCCTTGGCTTATACACGCCCTGCCCCAGTCTTTGCCTCTTTTCCTGAGATCTTCCCTATGTATGTTCTCTGTGTCTGTCTTGTCTCTTTTTAAGTTTATTTACTTCTTCTATGAGCAAGAGACACATCCCCAACAGTGTCTTGCCCCTGCAACCACCCCGTCAGCCCAGATCATGGCGCGGGCTGTGTCGGTGTGCTCCTGTGAATGTGAGACGGCACCAGGATGAGTCAGACGGGCTCACCTCCACGTCCAGCACAGGGCCTCACTCCAAGTACGGGCCGAATGAGTAGCTGGACCTCTCCCTGGGGTGTGTCTGCGTGTCGGCAGCGTTGGAGCTCCTGTGCGTTAGGCAGTGCTTCTCAAAGTGCTCTTGCACCTCTCTCCCCAAGAGCCGCCTGAAATGCTTGTGATAAATGGAGGCTCTCGGGGCCCCATGGCAAGCCTGCTGAGGCCGAGTCTGCAGGGTAGGGGCCTGGGCTCTGCCTTTTTTCACAAGCTCCCCACATGATCCTGGTACAACAGAAGTGTGATAACCCTTGGAATATTCTTTCAGTCAGGTAGAATTCATAGCATTTGAATAAGTTGATGATGGTCTCATGGGTTTATTAAAATAGAAAAAAAAAAAAGCCAAAAGGTTAAAGCCCAGTGTTGGCCGTGCTACCGCTAAGTCAGTGGCTACAAATGCAAGCTGACATTTGCTGAATATTTAGGTTGGGTTCTGTGCTGTGGGGGTAACAGTCACCAGCTCCCTTAATTCTGGGAGGCGCCTGGAGTTGGCTGCCACCCTCCCTCTGGGGCTCTTCCATGCCATCCTGCTTTTCCTCACCTGCTGCAGGTGGAGTCCTTGACCACAGAGTTGTCCGCTGAGCGCAGTTTCTCAGCCAAGGCGGAGAGTGGGCGGCAGCAGCTCGAGCGGCAGATCCAAGAGCTCCGGGGCCGCCTGGGTGAGGAGGATGCTGGGGCCCGGGCCCGCCAGAAGATGGTCATCGCCGCCCTGGAATCCAAGCTGGCCCAGGCGGAGGAGCAGCTGGAGCAAGAAAGCAGGTGGGTGGCAGAGGAGGCCGTGGGTGGAAGGCGACTGCCACGTTCTGTTCAGTGGCTGCAAGGGCAGCCGTGTTACGGGCACCTGAGTTAGCTCCATCCCAAAGCACCAAGTGATCAGTGTGACAGCTGGCCGCTAGCATCATTTAGGATGCTGCAGCTTCACGTAGCTGCCGTCCCACGAGGTCCCTTTAGTGCTGCTGTAACAGAATACCTGAGACTGGCTACTCAGGAACAAAAGAGACTTGTCTGGCCCACATTCCTGTGGCCAGAAAGTTCAAGACTGGGTGATGCTCACATGCTGCATCACATCATCGCTATGGGAGGGCTGTGCACTAGGGACCAGCTCTAGGGGAAGAACAATCCCTCTGGGGCCAGTCAGTGGTGTGGAGCTTAAGGCAGCTGGATCTCACAAGGCTGACTGCATGGTTCAAGTCCCAGACCTGGAAGCTTGAGAAGACACTCCAGGCGTGTATGCATGTGTGCCCAAAATCTCAAGGGGCGAGTGGAGGAAAAGGGACTGTGGCATAGCCATCTCCCCTCAGGGGCGCTTTCTCATATTCTCTCTTTCTCTGTCTCTCTGGCAAGTGCATACACCCTACAGGAAAAAAATATGAAAATAAAAATCCTTCTGGGGCCAGGATGGGAAGGGAGTAGAGGAGGGAGACTGAAAGGTAGGAGGCCTGGATGGTGGCTAGGAGGGTGGTCCAGGCAAAAGAGGTAAGGATAGTCAGGAGAGGATGGAGAGAACCAGGGCAGAAGGGTTGGAACTGGAGACCGATGGGCTGTGGGAGGTGAAGGGGCAGAGGCCAGTGCATGAAGTTGAGGCTTAGTGACTGGGTGAATGGTAAGATTTTGGGGGAAAGATGCTGAATTAATTGTAGGATATGGAGAGAGTAAGAAGCTTCCAAGATAAGCAGAAGAAGGCAGCCATGGGAGAAGAGGTTCTTAGTCCACAGAGTTGACCAAGGGCCCAGGGGCTCATGGGAGGTCTTGGGGAACCTTCCAGAAGCTGATGGATACTGAGCCCCTCCACCCCTCCTCCATTCTACAAATAAGAGAACATGTTCAGAGGAAGTGAATAACCCATGTAGTCACCCTGGGAGGGGAGGGTGGCAGGTGATCTGCAGCTGAAAGAGTCTCCCCCTGCATCTTTCTCCTACTCACTGCCCTCCCACTCCCCACTCCCACTCTGGCCCTGTGCCTGTCTCAGCACGTCTGGAGTTGTTGTGTCCTGTTGTGGCTGAGCCAAGTAGACTGAGGGAGCTGGTTGAGAGTGGGAGATGGAGTGGGAAAGAGGGAAGAAGTCAACCCAAGAACGAGGTGACAGCTTGGATAAGGCTGAGGACAGAACCCAGGCTCAGCACCTCTCCTGAGACTCTTCCTTATCCCTGCCTTCAGAGAGCGCATCCTCTCTGGCAAGCTGGTGCGCAGAGCTGAGAAGCGGCTTAAAGAGGTGGTGCTCCAGGTTGAGGAGGAGCGGAGGGTGGCGGACCAACTCCGGGACCAGGTAAGGGAACCGTGGAGAACAAGGCCGCTAAGCAAGAAATCACACAGGTCATCTCTGGAGATAGTGAGTTTCTGTCACAAGAAGGAACCCTCAGGTACAGGACTGGAACTGTGTGCACAAACCATGCCAGGGCCTTGGAGCCTCAGCAAGGGGTTAGAGTTGGTGACTTCACAGTCTATAAATTCTGGTATCAGGGAAAGGCTCTGGTAGGGAGCTCAGGCAGTTAGGGTGAAGGGAGAAGTTAATTACCCTACCCAGAAGCTAGACCAAGACTTAAATAACAACAAATATTGTTTATCAAGTGCTTTCCATGTGCGAGGCACTTTGCTAAAGACATAAAACATAATATTATACCTCCAGCATGAGTTTTAAGCCACTGGGTCTGGGACTCAAACTGCAGTCAATTATGTGGGAGTCCAGTGATGTAACCATTATGCCATTTGCGACCCCCTGACAATTTATTTTTTAAAAAAGAGAAGGAATGGAGGGAACCAGCAGTTAGCGTAATGGCTATGTCACTGGACTCCCACGTAGTCGACTGCAGATCGCGTCCTGGACCCGGTGGCTTAGAACTCACGCTGGGTGCGTATGCGTGCGTGCCCAAGATCCCGAGAGGAGAATGGAGGAGAAGGGATTGTGGCATGACCATCCCCCCTGGAGGGTGATTTCTCGCTTTCTGTCTCTATGTCTCTCTCTGTCTGTCTGGCGAGCGCACGCGCCCTATAGCAAAAACCTCTC